CATGCTAGAGAGCAGTCCACTGGAAAAGGACTTCAGCTCACCTGACTCCTTCCAGAAGGCCACCTCTTAGAGGGATGCCCCTGCCCAGTGGAGCTGGCGCATCCCATGTGGCATATCTCCATGGACAGGCAGCCAAGGACAGCCCCCCGCTCAGAGGAGCTGTGTGGGGACAGAAGGAATGGGAGGCTATGAGGACCTGGAGGGCACTGAGAAAGGCATCTCCCAGGGGCATAGGCACAGGGGTACAAAGGACATGGGTTGTCCCTGCCCCACTGAGCCCCTGAGCCCAGGGTGGTGAGGGGCAGAGGGCCTGGTGAGGGGTGGGGGCAGTGAGGAGCCACGTTGTGGACTCAACCGAGCACAGAGCTGGACCTCTGGCCATTCACAGAGCTCCTGGAGCGAGGTAGGACCAGGCAGGACACGTGCCCAGGTGGGCAATGTGGGACAATACATGTTATCAAGGGTGGGGAGGGACACAGATCTATCTGGTGAGCCAGACGTGCATCCAGGAAGATGTGGGTCCAGGATGTGCATTTGTGGAGGGCAACTACCTCAGTCCAGAGTCTCCCACCTCCCAGCCAGCCATCTCTGTCTCTGAGCATCCCACTACCGGGCGCTGGCTTCTCAGACAGGTCAGCACACCAGGGAGTCTCCACAGATGCCTTGGAGAGAGGTTGCAACGGGATGTCTGGACAAACACGGGCAGGTGAAGGTGTAACTGCTCAGCAAAGGTGATCTGTGACCAAGGAATAATCTGGTATGGAACGTGAAGATGTCCAGCTGCAGACAGGGTTAAACTGCCTGGGAGCAGGAATCCCGGGGACATTGACTCCTGCCAGGGAGAGAAATTTCCCTCGCTGATGAGGCAAGAAGTGAAGCAGCCCTGTGGTGCAGCCATCACCCAACGCAATCGATGCGGGGCCACCTCTGGCCAGCAGAGCTGGTGCTGGGCAACGAGCCCACACTGATCCCAGTGGCAGCTTTGGCTTCTCCCCTGAGTTCCAGCCACCTGAACAGCATCTCCCGAGCCCTGGGCCCTGCAGGTTTGTTCCTGCTGGGGCCAGTTGATTGTGCAGAGGCAGCAGGCAGGATACTGCAGCTTTCAGTGGTGTGGGACCCTGCACAAGCTGCCAGGTGTCCTACACAGCTCCAGTCCCAGAACCTTTCTCTGTTCTCCTCACTCCCACATCACCCAAAGGTGCAAACAACTTCCCCTGTTTAATGAACCCCTTGTTATTGCTAAAGGGAGCTCTGTGGACACCACTGGCCAACCCTCACTGCTACAGTTAGTAACCTACTTGTAAAGCTGTAATTAGAAGTTTCAGAGTTACATAAAGTAAATTAACTTTGAAACTTTTTTAACTTTGAAAGCTGGCAGCTGAGGAGGCTGGAGCCTGGGCTCCAGGAGAAGTGGAATCGAGCTGTTATTTGGGGTGCTGTTGCTTCAGCATGGGACTGGGGAGGCCTGGATGGGTGGGGAGTGAGGGTTGGCCCTTTGGGGTGGTTCCAGACCTAGGGGTAGGAGATATTGCTGTCCCTCCTCCAATGAAAGACCTCTATAGGCCAGGTGGGACAAAACAGCCCCTGAGAGAAGCCAGGTTACTCCCCTCCTCTTCCACTGTGTGAAGCCACCAAACTTGCTCCACAGCCATGGGGAAGAGCACAGCCATAACCTGTGGCTGGCCCCAGTGTCCTTCCCCCCTCCACCACCTGCTCTGTGCTGCAGCTGGGGGCACCATGCAGAGCTTCTGGGCATGATGGGGGGTATGGCACAGTGCAGAGGTCACCTTGGTGAGAAAGGCCTGACAACAAATGGAGTAATAGAATATTGGGGTTAATGACACAGAATAAGAACAAGGAATAGAGATCCCATGTAAATCTGACTCCCCTTCAGAGGCTGGACACGTCTCCACAGATGGGGCTCGTGCAGCATGCTGTGGGAAAACCTCTCCAAGGTCCAGCAGCGCTGCAGGAGAGCGGGGTGCCCTGCTCCAAAGGGATGGAGGATTTACCTGCTATCTGTAGTCCTTCTTTTCATTCTGTCTTATTGAAAGAGCTATTTCACGATGCCACTTGTTGTTCGAGCTTTCTCACCAGGCCTCAGAACGAGTCCTGTGCTGCCTTTTCTCCCCGCCCCAGTTGCAAAACACCAGCCTATTTCACATGGGCTGAGGGGAAGCCATTTCCCCATCAAGTGACCAGAGCCAAGAAAGGGAAACTAAACCCACTGATCACTTCTCTCCCAGCGTCCACAGGGTCACAAGACCAGGTCGTCACGGGCACCCAGCCCTGGCAGGGAGCTGGGACACCCTCAGCTCAGTGCAGCCACCCCTGTTCCTGCAGTTGCAGACACCCAAGCCGTGGCACAGGAGTTGGCTTGTCGCAACGAGGGCGTAGCAGGACCCACAGGGAGCCACCCAGCTGCTCAGTGCCTCCAGCCCAAGCCTTCCTCTGAAGAATCCCTGCTTGAGTGGAGGACAGAGGGAGCCCAGAGGGACGTGATGCTGCCTGTGACCCACCTGCTGGCCTTTGGTGAGTGCCAGAGGCAGTGCGGGCTCCCAGGGGGTGGCATGAGGCATCTGGAGGCTCCACAGGGGTGTTACGGGGCTGTTTCTCTTGCAGGTGCTTGGCTGGTGGCACAGAGTAAAGCTACACTAAGTGAGTATCATAAGGAGGTAGACAAGGAGTTTGAACACATCTCTGGTCCTCCACCCATCTCCCAGGACTCTGCACCAGCCCCACGGAACAAAACTCACCCTCGTGTGGAGCTGGGGCCTGGAGCTGGCTCCAGGCTCACCGCAGGGCCACTGGGCCCGGGGGACTCCCTGTCTGTCTAGCAGCATCTCTCTCCCTGTGCAGGTGCCCCCACCATCTCCATCTTCCTGAAGCCACCAGGAGTGATCCCACCAGGAGGCTCCACCACCATCCGCTGCAGTTGCCAGTGTTACAACGGGCACTTTGTGCTCTACAAGAACGGCGACCAGCTCCGTGCCCTGGAGCTGCGTGGCAGCAGGGCCGAGTTCTCCATCTCCAGTGCCACCCAGAAGGACGAAGGTGTCAAGGTGTCTACAGCTGCCACTACATGGGTGGAGGCGCCGTGCTGGCCCGCAGTGAGACCCTGGAAGTCATGGTGCGGGGTGAGTGATGTGCCCTCACACCTGCCCCTGGGCCAGGCGGCCGCACGGGGGTGAGCAGAGCCACTTTGGCTTCCCCAGCCACATGATGGGCAGAGATCTTTCCCCTCTTCCTTGTCTTGGAGAGGTGGGGACCATCTTCACCTCTGCCTGAACCAGGTGGCGGGGTCATGGAGGTCCCGGTGGCTCCTGGCACCAAGTCAAAGCCCTGCACACCTTCTTGTGCCCTCTCCTCTCCCCGCAGAGTTCCATCTCCCCAAACCTGTCCTCTCTGTCCTGCCTGGGCATGAGGTGACTGCAGGAGCTTCTGTGACTTTCCATTGCACCATCACACACCCCAAGGCCGGCTGTTTCCTGCAGCTGGAGGGCCGGATGGAAGTCCTCAGCATACTCTCAAAGGAATGGGATTATTTCAACCTCTCCCACGTGCAGACGGGCGACAGTGGCCGCTACAGCTGCCAGTGCTTCATGAAGAATTCTTCTCTGGAATGGTCTGCTGCCAGCGAGCCCGTGGATTTGGTGGTGAGAGGTGAGACATCCCCCCCACCACATTCTGCTGTTCTCTTCCTCCCTGGTGTCTGCCACATCCTGGGGGAACTAGAAAAGAGGATGTCTGTGAGGTGGCAGAAAGCAGCTGTCCTAGGGGGCCAAGCAGATTACAGCTTCCTTCAGATGTTTTTGAGCCTTGCCAGCTCTTTGGGGACCTTACAGATGAGCTGTGGACCCTATAGACCCAGGGTCTCTAGGCTGCTAGTGGTGGGGTTGTGCCTGCACCTACCAGCCCATTTTGTACTTTTTCTAGGACTGTGGTTTGTTTTAGAAGGTTGGTGGTTGCATCTAATCCTTCACCATGTTTTCGGGTGTCTGTTATGAGTGGCTGCTGAGTTGAGGGATCGCTCCTGTGGCGTTGGTGTTGTTTATGGTCTGGGGGGGTGTCAGTAGTTCCCTTTATCCTGTGTCCTGGGCGGCCGATCCCTTCCTGGAGGCTGGAGGAGACTGACATGTTTGGGGGTATGGAGCAGGTTTCGTTTCACTGCTTGTTTTTGGGGTGGTGATTGGGGGTCTCGGGGAGTGTTGGAAGTTTGGGGTGATTACTGTTGATGGTGGGGGTGTGTTTGCTCCTTGAGTGGACTTTGGTGGTGTGGCTGGGTTCTGTTTGTGTGGGCTGGGCATGGCTTTGGTGGTGGGATGGGGGTTATCATTAACGTTGTGCTGGAGCTGGTGCAAGGCTTATTTCATGGGTAGTTTAGTTGGGGATGCTCAGAGAATAGTTTAAGAGAAACTCCCAGCTTTGGGAGTCGGAGATAGAGGTTCAAGTCTTCTTTTTCTGAGGGGTTTGGTGGGACTCTAAGAAGAGGTGTAGTCTTCAGTCTTTAGTTTACAAAGACACTCTTGTTGCAGCCCCGTGGCACCATCTGGCTCGCAGAGGTGGGTTGGGCAAGGTCCATGTTCCTGTCCCCATCCCTGTCTCTGCTGGCACTGGTCAGAGCCTGTGGGAAGGGGGTGTCCCAAGGGGCAGGGATGTGGGGGGTAGAGCCATCGGGTGCCCTTGGGGGTCCCTTTGCTCCCTAAGAACCTCCTTTGATCCCTCTTTAGCCCTGGAGCTCCCCCGCGTCCAGACGTGCCCCTTTGCCCCACGGGCTCTTCCATCCCCTTGGGTTGCCCCCCCGGGACTCCTTTAGGCTGGCAGCTCCCCGGGGGCTCCCCCCAGGGGTCCCCAGCGACGGCCCCTTCCTGTGCCCTGCAGATTACACCTGGAGCAACGTGGTGCACCTGGCCCTGGGGGCCGTGGTCCTGCTGCTGCTGGGGCTGCT